ACTCCAGTCTGGGCGACAGAGTGAGACTCCAACTCAAAAAAAAAAAAAAAAGTTTTATTTATGTAGAGACAGGATCTTCCTATGTTGCCCAGGCTGGTCTCAAAACACCTGGTTTCAAGTGATCTTCCTGCCTCGGCCTCCCAAAGTGCTGGGATTTCAGGCATGAGCCACTGCACCCAGCTGTTTTTTCACTTTTGTATCCCAAGTACAACACCGTCTGGTACATGGCAGGCATACTAATATGTGTCAAAAATAACAAATTAGCCAAACCCTTTCACAGTTTACAAACACTTTCACTGACAATTTCTATTTCTCTCTCTCTCTTTTTTTTTTTTTTGGAGAGTTGAGGTCTCGCCAACTTGCCCTGTTCAATTTGCCCAGCCAAGTTGCCTGACTCAAAATAAATAAATAAATAAATGCATTACTACTACTACAACAACAACAAAAGCAAAACATTTTGAGGAACCACCAGACTGTTTTCAAAATGCCACCATTTCACATACCTACTAGCCGTGCATGTTCGAGGGCTCCATTCCAATGTTCCATGTCCTTGCTAACATTTATTATCTGTCTCCTACTTTTGCGTAGATTTTGGAAATCCCCAGAATAAAGTGTTTTTTGTTTTGTTTTGAGTAGGCATCTCACTCTGCCACCAGGCTGGAGTGTAGTGGCAAGCTCATGGCTACCACAGCCTCAACCTGCTGGGCTCAGGTGATCCTTCTCCCTCAGCGTTCTGAGTAGCTGGAACCATAGGCGCACACCATCATACCTGGACCACATCTGGCTAATTCTTTTTTTTTTTTTTTTTAATTGTAGAGACAAGCTTTCACCAAGTCACCCAAGCTGGTCTTGAACCCCTGGACTCAGGCAATCCTCTCGCCTCCGCCTCCCCAAATGCTAGGATTACAGGTATGAACCACTGTGCCTGGCATAGAAAGTTGTTTGTTTGTTTGTTTGTTTGTTTTTTTGAGTTGGAGTCTCACTCTATCACCCAGACTGGAGTGCAGTGGCCGCTCCCGGCCACCGCAGCCTCGACCTGCTGGGCTCTGGCGATCCTTCCACCTCAGTCTTCCAAGTAGCTGGAACTACAAGTGTGCGCTACCACACCTGGCTAATTTTTGATTTATTGTAGAGATGAGGTCTCGCCAAGTTGGCCAGGCGGGTCTCCAACCCGTGGGCTCAGACAATCCACTCACCTTGGCCTTCCAAAGCGCGGGATTACAGGCTGAGCCACCGAGCCCGGCCTGCAAGTTCACATTTAATGGAACAGAGTTTCAGTTTGAGAAGATAAAAAAGTTCTGAGGATGGATGGTGAAGGTTGTTCAATAATGTGAATATACCTGCCACTGATCTGTACACTCAAAAATGGTTAAAATGGTACATTTTATGTCATCTATATATTGTTACACATACACACACCAAGTAGAAGGAATTGTTTTATAAGCTAACATGTGACCATCAGCCAGGTTCAACAATGATGGATTGTTTCATGTATGGTTCATGAAAGCAAGGGAAAAAAAAGCACCAGTGATGGTTATGGGATCTCATTAGAGTATGGAATCTTATGAGGAAGGTATCATTAGTAATTTCTTTTGCTAGATGAGGAACCTGAAGTTCAGAGTGGT